ACTTCTAATATCCTAATCAATATCATTACACAATAGATAGGAAAAATTAGACACTACACTAATAATCATTAGTGTTGAATATTCAATCTGTGACGCAGCGCGAAAGTGATAGCCTCGGAATCCACCAAGGGCGTTCTCTGAATCCACGGAGAACAATCTTCGAATCCACGAAGAACTTCGAGTCCACGAAGAAAATATCGAAAAGATAAATTTTATTGATCAAAAGTTATACCTCTAGGGCTTACAAGACTCTGCTTAAATAGAAAAAAACTAGACTGCTACTATGACTCAAGTTTTACCAAAAATAAAAATAATAAAACTCTTTCTAAAAAGACTCCTTAAGATTAGAAAAGTTTAATCGGTCAAATCTAAGATCAAACCGGATTCGTTTCCTAATCAAAACAGACTCTTAAAACATTACTAAAAATAGTAAAAAAACTGTCAAAAACATAGATATCTCTCAAACTATAAAAACTTTTTTGAAACGGACGGGAGCAAACTGAACCCTTAGGGTAGGTTTGGTCGGCTCCGTCTCGTCGAGATAGTCGATTTTCATATATAATTCGTCCAATTCCGACTTACGGTTTGAAAGTTATGACATGTTTTTAGTAACAATTTATTTTTCTCGACTGAGCCCGTGTTTGGGCTTGCGACTGTCCCACTTTGACACAAACATCTCCACCGTGTGTTCTACATCAATCTGTACCTGGTAGTGATTATTGATGAGACATTATCGTAAATATTGGCCTGCTCTGTTTAGACTTTTCTCGAAAAGCAACTTATTTACTTGCATGAGCTTAAACAGCTGGGGTTGGAAGCGTGAAAGTTTACAAATATGTGAATACTATACTAATAATGCTTAATTTGTTCTTGTTTTTCGATGGCAAACTCTCACCAGAAATGTGCAGTGCCAGATACCCTTTCAGCCCACATAGGTTATATATGTTATAAGAGCTTTGCTACAGGGACCCAAAATATGGGACTAATAGAGGGGACAAGTGAGGTGTCCCTCTCCTATTGGATAATGAGTTGACCATCATTAATGATGGTCAACTCATTATCCAATAGAAGGGGGACACTTCACTTGTCCCCCCTATTGGTCCCATATTTTGGGTCCTTAAAGAATTTTTCATGTTATAATTAACTTTCAGGATTGCTGAAGAAATTTGTTTGAAGTTTATCTTGATGCTACTCGAAACTGCAAAATTAATTGGTTGTTAACATTTATTACTATAACTATTATTACTATTACTACCATTAGTTAAGGGGCTGTTTGGTTGTTGTTGGTAAAGTTGTGTATTTATGACAACTTGGAAAGTTGTTGTCCATGTAGGCGTCAAAAAATGCTTATGGGTGTCCGCACACAGCTCGAGACGGAGAGAAGACGATGAACGTCGTTATCTGAGTCTAAGAGGATTATCTGATGTTGACAAGCGCCTGAAGCACAACAGAAAACCGAATGGCCTGCACGCTTATCAATCAGCTCGCGTGTGTCGGTCAACACGGGTGCGTCAATCAGCTCGCGCGCATCAATCAACGCGCGTCCGACAATCAGTTCGCGCGCGTCGGTCAACACGCGTGCATCAATCAACACGCGCATATATCAACCAACGCCATTTCGATAGTCAATCCCGCAACGAAGCATGCAAGTCAACAAGACAGTCAAACACGCAAAACGGTGAAAAATACAAGTCCCGAAAGAGTCGAAAAACCAGAAGAAAGTGCCAAGCTACGGAACCCCGCGTCGGTACGGGACAGCCGAAACCGACCCGCACCGGTACGGCGCCGGTACGGCCTTGGCCGACACGTGGCTCGGCGGGTCGGGCGGGGTCAGCCGCGAGCCGACCCGCGCCCCCCGCGGGTCAGATTTCTCCTGCGTGCTGTTTTGACCCACTGTTCGGTTTTTGACGGGTTTTCTCAGGATTTGTTGGTTCCTGGGCATCCCAACTGATCTGATATCATCCTCAAACATTGTTAATCAGTTATCAACTGAAGATAAGAAGGGATCATTCATTCTTATCCTAAATAACCGCTTCCGAAGCTTATAAATACGAGCTCGGGTGCTCCTTTCAGAGGGGCGGGGATTAATTATCAAGAGGAGGAGGTGCTGCCGGATTGAGGAGTCAAAGGAGCACGAATTTTAGCGAGGGTTGACAGATCTTGACGAGTTCTTCGGCATAAAGAAGGAGAGTTCGAGAGATCTGACGCCCGTTTCCCCATTTCCTTGAGATCAGGCTTGGTCTTGATCTCGAGAAGAGCTACTGATTTCGCTTGGTCGATCTCAGCGCTTCAAATCAAATACTTCCTCTGTGAAGACGAAGCTCTGCCGAATTTTTCATCAACCGGATCCAGATCAAAGGCGGTCCACGGATAAACCCCGGCACAGGCAAAGATCCCACGTAAGCAGAAGACCGATAAACGATCTCTGCGTTTGTTTGATAAAGTTATAAACTTTTTTTTTATTTTCATTATGTAAGGAGATCTTATAAAAAGATTAACTTTTTTTATTTTATTCGAGTTTATTGTAACGACTAAAGTTGTAATAGATTCGATAGCAATGAAAACAGCAACTTTCCACGAAAACAGTCCACCTCATCAATTTCACTTTTATATTTTTCTTTGTTTGTTTTTTATTCCATTAGAATCATAAATTGCTTGTTTGGTTTGCAAATGTAACTTTAATTGTTTGTTTGGAAAATATAAAAAGTGGTCCTGTTTGTGGGAAATTTGCAGTAAAAAGACAATGAAAGAAAAATTGATTTGTATTCTCTCAAAATCGATTACAATTGGATTCCGATTACAAAAGAGAGGAGAATGAATTTGATTCTCCCCTTTGTTTAAAACTGGGTTCTTCTTGGTAGCGATGGAGTGTCTCCCTCGAATGCACGCGTCGAGTTTGCTCTCCGTTGATGATCCGAACGTCTTGATTCACTGGAACGTGGTCTTCTCCTCACGATTTAACGTTGTTGAGAGCTTGCGTGGCAAGTTTGAAAATAACTCTTAACGAGTTAATAACTCAGAGCGAGTTTTAGAAGGACTTGTAGAGCAAGTTTTGAAACTCTGGACAAGTTGATAACTCAGATCGAGTTCAACTCGAGTTTAACTCTGAACGAGTTTGAACTCTTGAAAAAGAGTTGATTTAACCGAAAGTCGGTTATAAGCCAAGGATGAATGCTCCAAGGACTTTGTTGCTGCAGAAAGCTCCAAGATGCCCGATCAAGGATCCCCAAAGAGTCAGCTCCAGCCAGCCGAATATCTCTTCTTTGCTGCCCAAAAAGAAGGATCCGAACTCAGTTGAGTTTTGAGGTGTTTATAGGAGATTAAGGGGGTGTAACCGCCCTCTTAATTCGCTCCTGAGTGGGCGAGAATCCCTCAGATCGTGGGATAAACGGTTGTCAAGCCGTTCAACTTGTGTTTGAACAAGTCAAACGCTTAACTTGGCATTCTGGGCATTAACTCTGCGCCTAAGGCTTGAGGCGCAGAGTTAAATCTCTGCTAGAGATTTGAAACGCAGAGGTCGTATGCGTTCTAGAAATTAGGGACGCACAGGTCGCTTGTGTGCTGAATCCCAACTCTGTGTCTTGAGTTTGAGACGCAGGATTGAGTATTTGAAGAACGCACAGTCTGTGTGTGTTTCGTGTTTTAACTCTGCGTTGCAGAGTTGAATGTCTGCTGGAGAACGCACAGTCCGTGTGCGTTTTGTGTTTGGGAAACGCAGAGGTGGGTTCTGCATAGACTCTGCGCTTTGAGTCCACGAACTCTGCGTTTGGAATCTGGAACGCAGTCACGACCTTTGCGTTTTGAATCTGGAACGCAGTCACGACCTCTGCGTTTTGAATCTGGAACGCAGTCACGACCTCTGCGTTTTGAATTTCAAATGAGGTCACGACCTCTGCGTTTTGAGTTTAGAAAGCAGGCATGACCTCTGCGTTTTGAATCTTGGATGCAGAGGTGATCCTTAGGTGGGCTCGACGAACTTCATGCTAAGTCCAATGCTCAGGCGAAATGCAGTCTCACAGACGGACTTCAGAACATAACTTGCTGCGAAGAACATGTCATAACTTTCAAACCGTAAGTCGGAATGAGACGAATTATATATGAAAATCGGCTATCTCGACGAGACGGAGCCATCCGAACCAAGCTAAAGGCTTCGGTTCTCTTCCTCCGTTTCGCCAAATTCCTTACGGGTTGAGAGATATCTGCGTTTTAATATGAAGAGACCGTCAATTTGTAGTCTCTTTTGCTAGAGCGTTGCAAAGATCGTCACCTTGTAACCTTCGTCTTGGCTCCTTGAAAATATGAGAGTCATCAGATTATAACTCCCGATGTTGATTGTGAAGGCTGTTGAATTAGAGCTTTCATCAGTTGTCGTGAAGGTTGTCAGATTGTAACCTTCAGCGATCTACGTGAAAGTCTTCAAATTATGGCCTTCTGGAAGTCGTCAGATTGTAACTTTCATCATCGGTATTTGATGGGGGATAAACTATCTATTGTGATTTTTAGACAGCCTACAGGTCCCTACTCAAATAATCATATTGGTTGGAATTATTTTTTATTATTTTTTTCTGACTTTAATATCAGTTTTCTCCTAAAATCATGTTTTTTTATGAAATCATTTTACAAGCCACATCAGCATATGAAATCACTTTACACTATTTTCACAACTACAAACAAATAATTGAAAGTGATGAAAGCTGACATTAGGACCCACTTTTTTATATTTTTTATCCTTTTACATGGTAAAAACATACAACCAAACAGCCCCTAAATTCCACTGCTGTTATTCTTTTTCACTGATTTTGTCTGGTAAAGTCCCCATTTTGTGTTTCTGCTCCATTAATGTCTTTGCTTTTATTTTTAATTAATGTCCATTTAGTAATAACAATTGTCTCTTCTCAACACCACGATTAGTGACAGTCGTTTTAGTATATAGTACATCGTTTAATATATAGTATCTCAATACAAATTCCACAGAAACCACCTCTATAGACTAAAAGAAGGGGGCAGTTTTTTTCACCATAAATAGAATGGTTAAAATTCTAGAACTTACTCCTCGTTTCCTCCTATTCCTCGGCCTTCAAAATAAATCTGGCCAACATTTGGGTACTAAACAAATTTTCCCAAACACAATACGAAATTCAGGAGCAAAAAACCTCGAAGAGCTACACCGTGGCCAAATTAAAAACCCGCCCCCTCGTTTCCTCCCAAAAAGAAAAAAAGGAAGCGTGCCCATTAAAAAATTAAAAAAAAGCTAAGTGACCCTTAAATAATTATTTATTGTTTCATAATCTTTATATTTAAGTATCCTAAGTTGTAAAAAAATAGCACGTTAATACTTTAAATTGTAAAAAAAATAACAATTAATACTCTCTAAGTTGTAAAAAAATAGCATAGTTGTACCTTCTGCTAGTTACAAGTGGGAATGTATATATTCCTAAGAATATTTTCACGTAATTAGCATATGATATTTTTGTAATTGTATCGATCCTATTTGTTGTCACATCTACTACTATAATTGTCCTTTACCTTTTCATTAATTTCTATGGAGGGGTATTTTTATCATAACGGATTTTTTAACGGTGTTTATCATGTCATGTTCAACCGTGAATAACTTAAGATATTTTTGTCACTTTTTAAAACTCAGGGATTAAAGTGTAAAAGGACGCGAAGCGATAGGTTATTTAAGCGCCATTTTAGCTCCCAAGAAAAGAAATAAAAAACCACGTACCAACCGCTCCTCATCACTTCGTCTTCTACTCTTTTAATTGTTTCGAGAATTAATGGGCGGAGGAGATCACGAAGCGAAGCGCGCCGGCCCCCCGCCGCCCCGCCGCTTTCGATACATCTGGCGGACGACGTTACTCCTGCGTCGGGGTCTACCAGCACGGCCGAGTCGAGATCATCGCCAACGACCAGGGCAACAGGACGACGCCGTCCTACGTGGCGTTCACCGACAACGAGAGGTTCGTCGGCGACGCCGCCAAGAACCAGGCCGCGTTGAATCCGGTCAACACCGTCTTCGGTCAGCCCCTCTCTGATATCCTCATCTCTTTTTGCTTTTTGTCTGCTGTGAAAATAATAATGTACGTATTATTTGTTGCTTGCTCAAGGGTTTTTGTCCTCAGTTAATACCCGTGTTGGTTAAGGAAAATGCATTTTTGGATTAGTAGTATTTAACCTATTAAATTCTCATTTTTTTAGATGATAAAAGCTTTGTTTTTCGTTTATATTATACTAGATGACAACATTGCATTGTGCATTGCATATAATCTTGTGTTGAATAACTGATTTAAAATTAGTTGTTAGGTTGTTTCCTATTTTTCAGTATAGTATGTTAGTAGTGGTTTAGTTGTTTACTTAGTCAATGACTCAATTGTCATGTGTTTTTTGAATTGTTTGTTGCTGATTTCTAGGAGTTTAAGTTGGTGTAAGGTCTATATATTTGGTCATTCTCTCTGTTACCTCAGGTTGTCGAGCTTTACTCTAGAAAATCCTCTGATTCCTTTCTTGCCATATCAGATATACTGAAATAGATAAAGCCATCCTCTTTAATTTTTCAGTAAATCCCTTCCTTCTGAGCCTGTAACTATACCAGTTTATAATACAACTCCAATCACATGATCTCCAATCGAACTTCAGCCATTCCATCACCAAATTCCAAACAATAGTTGAAAACTGACACTCAAAGAATAAGTGGCAGCGAGATTCCTGTTGACTTGAGCAGAGAACACACTGATTTGCATTGAGAACTCTCATGCTACACAATTTGTCCTGTGTTAATAATTTTGATTGAGCAGCTAATCATAAGATGAAAGAATGTTTAAGATAATGTATATTGTCCCATATTGTGTTCATCCAACCAACTTGAGGTGCAGGTTGAATCAGGAGTCTGTAAACTGATGAAATATGTATTTTCCCGCCAATACAGCATTTACCAATGATTTCCTGCAGGCTAATGACATTTCTAAATCTGTTAATCAACTTATCTCTAGCTTTTATAATTTGCTTTCACATCCAAGAATCATTCGATCTTTTTTGAACTTGCCAAATGCTAAAGTTATTGATGGTTTAGTTTGATTTTGAAAGTTATTGGGGGATTACTGCAAAACACCGATAGGTCTTATGGGTTCAGTGTAACTTACCCTATATTCTTTGGTTGCCAATGTCATTCATTACTTAAAAGAACTTTTTTTTAGGGGAAAAGATTTTTTTTAAAATTAGTTGTCTTACATAAAAAAAAATTAGTTCAAATTTGCCATTTTGTTGTTTATTTGTGCCCCCTGTCCGCTGACGTTGTGCTTGATTAGTTGAAGTGTAGGGAGGCGTCAAGGTACATACATATAGATCCTTCATGTTTGATTAGTTCGATTACATTTATTTCTTTCTTTCTTTCTTTCTTGAAGCAACTTGTCATTTTCCCTCACAACTACAATATAGGCATTTGATACTTTAGTAGACATGAAAAGAATACTGTACATGTTGCTAGTTCCTTGAGGCTTAGAAGGATATATCAGTTTCATGTACACACACACACTACTATAATGGAATGTTTTGCCTATAAACTCTTTTTTTTTGGTCAATTAATTGACCGCTACGATTCCATTTATAAATTTGTCGCTGCCATATCATGGAGAATATACAGGCGACCATGGCTTTACTACGAAGAATACTGCGGTATATTAATGCAAGAGAATATAGCATGTGTACATGTTATACATTTTCTATAATTAACCAGACTTCGATAAATTTCGATAACAGATAATGTATAGTGTTTATGATGGCCAGCAGCCTAGTAATTTTTTACCCGTAGCTTACATTTATATACATGGTATTTTGGTTTAAATATGTGAGTTCTTATCAGTGGCTCTCCATAAGGAACTTTTGACATGCACAACTTGATAACCGTTTCAGATGCTAAGCGTTTGATCGGCAGGAGATTCAGTGATCCTTGCGTGCAGAATGACATGAAGCTGTGGCCATTTATGGTGGTTTCTGGCTCGAAAGACAAGCCGAAGATTGTTGTGGAGTACAAGGGTGAAGAAAAGCGATTTTCCGCAGAAGAAATCTCCTCCATGGTTCTGATGAAGATGCGTGAAATTGCAGAGACCTATCTAGGCTCCACCGTCGAGGACGCTGTCATCACGGTTCCTGCATACTTCAGCGACTCTCAGCGCCAGGCAACTAAGGATGCTGGCGCCATTGCTGGCCTCAATGTGAAGCGCATTATAAATGAGCCCACCGCTGCTGCCATTGCTTACGGACTTGAGAAGAAGGATACGAGCATTGACGAGAGGAACATTCTGATCTTTGACCTGGGTGGTGGCACTTTAGATGTTTCTTGTCTCGTAATCGATGATAGTATCTTCCAGGTTAAGGCCACAGCCGGAGACACCCATCTCGGCGGAGAAGATTTCGACCATAGGATGGTGGACCACTTTGTTCAGAAGTTCAAGAAGAGGTACAATAGAGACATCAGCAAGAGCGCCAGAGCTCTTAGGAGGCTGAGGACATCCTGTGAGAGGGCGAAAAGGGCTCTTTCCTCGGCTTACCAAACAATGATCGAGTGCGATGCCCTCTTTGAGGGCATCGACTTCTACGCTAATATTACTCGAGCCAGGTTCGAAGAGCTTAACATGGATCTGTTTCAGAAGTGTATTGAGCCTGTGGAGAAGTGTTTGAAGGATGCAAGGATGGAGAAGAGCTCCATTCATGATGTTGTTCTTGTTGGTGGATCAACTAGAATCCTAAAAGTTCAGCAGTTGCTGCAGGATTTCTTCAACGGCAAGGAGCTCTGCAAGAGCATTAACCCCGACGAGGCTGTAGCCTACGGAGCTGCCCTTCAAGCCGCGGTGTTGAGCGGGGAGAACGATGAAATGGTAGAGGACTTGCTGCTGATGGATGTCACCCCATTATTGTTTTCGCCAAAAGTTGGTTTTGTTGTCGAATTCATTATATCTTCGGTCGATTATAATAAATTCAAAGAAAACAGCCTTTTTATAAGACTCTTTTACACAACAAAAAGAAAATTACAACTCTTGAGAAAATAAACGCAGGATCGTTGTTTGGATCACTGCTTTCGTGGGATCTTTGCCTGTGCCGGGAGCGCTTTGACCCGTGGACCGCCAAGTCACAGATTCTGATTGAATCGTGAGGGGTTTATGATTCTGACTTCGTTTATCGAAGTGAGAAATTGAAACGATATCTTATCGATGTAAGATAGTCGTTCTTCTTGAAATCAAGTCAAAGCCTGATTATCAAGGAGTGGCCGTAAGATCAGCACCTCTGCTCTCTCTCTGCTCTGGATTGCTCTGAAGTGCTCACAATGATCAGCCCTGGATCTCTCTGCCGGAATCCCCCTCTGAAAATGGCCTTCGGGGGGTATTTATAACCCTCTGGATGAACAGTGCTCGCGAGACAGCATTTGCTGTCTCGGCGGGCGAGACAGTGTTTGCTGTCTCGCCAGTTAGTGGCCACGTGTAGGGCAGTTGCAAAGGTAGTTTTGACCATCTGAAAGCTGTCTCACGTGCGAGACAGTAAATTCTGTCTCGCACGGCGAGACAGCAAAGACTGTCTCGCGTGGGCGAGACAGTAAAAGTCTGTCTCGCTCGCGAGACAGTAAAGACTGTCTCGCACGGCGAGACAGTAAAGACTGTCTCGCGCGGCGAGACAGTCAAGTCTGTCTCGTACGGCGAGACAGTCAAGACTTGTGTTTTTTTTCTGCCTTTTTGGATGATTTCCTCTTGAGCTGTATTAGGATATCTTTCAGTATTTTTTGACGCCTACAGATACCCCCTCCAAAGTATTACAGACTCAATCTTTTATAGAGGAGTTCTGGGATGCTTTGGATAAGATAGATCTTACTTACGATCCTTTCAATGCTTGGTTGAGTAGATCGTGTAGAGGAACCCGTAGGTGGCTTCAACTTTTGATCTCTTTGTCTCTCAATCTATTCAGTGCTTTGTAGAATAGTTAAGATTCTTCCGGCATCGCGTTTATCGCTTGTCCATTGTAGAGATCTTGAATTAAAGCTGGAACTTGTACAGTGATATTCTCCAGAAACTTCCTGTTGAGATTAGGGAAACAGTTTAGACTCGTGCATTATTTGGAGTATTCAGGTTATTCTTAAGAATATTCTGAGTAATATTCTCCAGGAATTTCCTGTTGAGGGTAGGAAAACAGTTTAGACTCGTGTACCTATTTGGAGTATTCAGGTTATTCTTAAGAATATTCTGAGTAATATTCTCTCTTGTTTGTTGGTAGAGATGAACCCGATGATGGAGAGGAAGAATTTTATATTCTATCTCCTGGTCTCTTGTTTGTTGGTAGAGATGAACCCGATGATGGAGAGGAAGAATTTTATATTCTATCTCCTGGTCTCTTGTTTGTTGGTAGAGATGAACCCAGAATCGGAGAGGAAGAATTTTATATTCTATCTCCTGGTCTCTTGTTTGTTGGTAGAGATGAACCCAGAATCGGAGAGGAAGAATTTTATATTCTATCTCCTGGTCTCTTGTTTGTTGGTAGAGATGAACCCAATGATGGAGAGGAAGAATTTTATATTCTATCTCCTGATCTCTTGTTTGTTGGTAGAGATGAACCCGGAATCGGAGAGGAAGAATTTTATATTCTATCTCCTGATCTCTTGTTTGTTGGTAGAGATAAACCCGGAATCGGAGAGGAAGAATTTTATATTCTATCTCCTGGTCTCTTGTTTGTTGGTAGAGATAAACCCGATGATGGAGAGGAAGAATTTTATATTCTATCTCCTGGTCTCTTGTTTGTTGGTAGAGATAAACCCGATGATGGAGAGGAAGAATTTTATATTCTATCTCCTGGTCTCTTGTTTGTTGGTAGAGATAAACCCGATGATGGAGAGGAAAAATTTTATATTCTATCTCCTGGTCTCTTGTTTGTTGGTAGAGATAAACCCAAAATCGGAGAGGAAGAATTTTATATTCTATCTCCTGGTACAAAGGAAATTTGAAGTGGGATTTCTATTCAGAGAATCTGAATAAGGTTTGATCAATTGAGATTGGAAGCAATCTTAACTTTTATAGTTTTGATTGCACAAATCGAAGCTGGACCTCTCGTTCATGGAAGGAATCGAAAGGGGATTTTGGTTTTGGTCCTAACTGTAGTAAGGTTTGACCAAGTGGGAGTTCTGAGATGATCCTAACTGTTTAAAGGTTTGATCATTCAATTTGTGGACCTCTCGTTCATGGAACGAATCGAGAGGGGATTTTGGCTTTGGTCCTAACTGTTTAAAGGTTTGACCAAATGGGAATTTGAGACGATCCTAACTGTTTAAAGGTTTGATCGTTCAATTTGTGGACCTCTCGTTCATGGAACGAATCGAGAGGGGATTTTGGCTTTGGTCCTAACTGTTTAAAGGTTTGACCAAGATGGGAATTTGAGACGATCCTAACTGTTTAAAGGTTTGATCGTTCAATTTGTGGACCTCTCGTTCATGGAACGAATCGAGAGGGGATTTTGGCTTTGGTCCTAACTGTTTAAAGGTTTGACCAAGATGGGAATTTGAGACGATCCTAACTGTTTAAAGGTTTGATCGTTCAATTTGTGGACCTCTCGTTCATGGAACGAATCGAGAGGGGATTTTGGCTTTGGTCCTAACTGTTTAAAGGTTTGACCAAGATGGGAATTTGAGACGATCCTAACTGTTTAAAGGTTTGATCGTTCAATTTGTGGACCTCTCGTTCATGGAACGAATCGAGAGGGGATTTTGGCTTTGGTCCTAACTGTTTAAAGGTTTGACCAAGATGGGAATTTGAGACGATCCTAACTGTTTAAAGGTTTGATCGTTCAATTTGTGGACCTCTCGTTCATGGAACGAATCGAGAGGGGATTTTGGCTTTGGTCCTAACTGTTTAAAGGTTTGACCAAGATGGGAATTTGAGACGATCCTAACTGTTTAAAGGTTTGATCGTTCAATTTGTGGACCTCTCGTTCATGGAACGAATCGAGAGGGGATTTTGGCTTTGGTCCTAACTGTTTAAAGGTTTGACCAAGATGGGAATTTGAGACGATCCTAACTGTTTAAAGGTTTGATCGTTCAATTTGTGGACCTCTCGTTCATGGAACGAATCGAGAGGGGATTTTGGCTTTGGTCCTAACTGTTTAAAGGTTTGACCAAGATGGGAATTTGAGACGATCCTAACTGTTTAAAGGTTTGATCGTTCAATTTGTGGACCTCTCGTTCATGGAACGAATCGAGAGGGGATTTTGGCTTTGGTCCTAACTGTTTAAAGGTTTGACCAAGATGGGAATTTGAGACGATCCTAACTGTTTAAAGGTTTGATCGTTCAATTTGTGGACCTCTCGTTCATGGAACGAATCGAGAGGGGATTTTGGCTTTGGTCCTAACTGTTTAAAGGTTTGACCAAGATGGGAATTTGAGACGATCCTAACTGTTTAAAGGTTTGATCGTTCAATTTGTGGACCTCTCGTTCATGGAACGAATCGAGAGGGGATTTTGGCTTTGGTCCTAACTGTTTAAAGGTTTGACCAAGATGGGAATTTGAGACGATCCTAACTGTTTAAAGGTTTGATCGTTCAATTTGTGGACCTCTCGTTCATGGAACGAATCGAGAGGGGATTTTGGCTTTGGTCCTAACTGTTTAAAGGTTTGACCAAGATGGGAATTTGAGACGATCCTAACTGTTTAAAGGTTTGATCGTTCAATTTGTGGACCTCTCGTTCATGGAACGAATCGAGAGGGGATTTTGGCTTTGGTCCTAACTGTTTAAAGGTTTGACCAAGATGGGAATTTGAGACGATCCTAACTGTTTAAAGGTTTGATCGTTCAATTTGTGGACCTCTCGTTCATGGAACGAATCGAGAGGGGATTTTGGCTTTGGTCCTAACTGTTTAAAGGTTTGACCAAGATGGGAATTTGAGACGATCCTAACTGTTTAAAGGTTTGATCGTTCAATTTGTGGACCTCTCGTTCATGGAACGAATCGAGAGGGGATTTTGGCTTTGGTCCTAACTGTTTAAAGGTTTGACCAAGATGGGAATTTGAGACGATCCTAACTGTTTAAAGGTTTGATCGTTCAATTTGTGGACCTCTCGTTCATGGAACGAATCGAGAGGGGATTTTGGCTTTGGTCCTAACTGTTTAAAGGTTTGACCAAGATGGGAATTTGAGACGATCCTAACTGTTTAAAGGTTTGATCGTTCAATTTGTGGACCTCTCGTTCATGGAACGAATCGAGAGGGGATTTTGGCTTTGGTCCTAACTGTTTAAAGGTTTGACCAAGATGGGAATTTGAGACGATCCTAACTGTTTAAAGGTTTGATCGTTCAATTTGTGGACCTCTCGTTCATGGAACGAATCGAGAGGGGATTTTGGCTTTGGTCCTAACTGTTTAAAGGTTTGACCAAGATGGGAATTTGAGACGATCCTAACTGTTTAAAGGTTTGATCGTTCAATTTGTGGACCTCTCGTTCATGGAACGAATCGAGAGGGGATTTTGGCTTTGGTCCTAACTGTTTAAAGGTTTGACCAAGATGGGAATTTGAGACGATCCTAACTGTTTAAAGGTTTGATCGTTCAATTTGTGGACCTCTCGTTCATGGAACGAATCGAGAGGGGATTTTGGCTTTGGTCCTAACTGTTTAAAGGTTTGACCAAGATGGGAATTTGAGACGATCCTAACTGTTTAAAGGTTTGATCGTTCAATTTGTGGACCTCTCGTTCATGGAACGAATCGAGAGGGGATTTTGGCTTTGGTCCTAACTGTTTAAAGGTTTGACCAAGATGGGAATTTGAGACGATCCTAACTGTTTAAAGGTTTGATCGTTCAATTTGTGGACCTCTCGTTCATGGAACGAATCGAGAGGGGATTTTGGCTTTGGTCCTAACTGTTTAAAGGTTTGACCAAGATGGGAATTTGAGACGATCCTAACTGTTTAAAGGTTTGATCGTTCAATTTGTGGACCTCTCGTTCATGGAACGAATCGA